CCCTGTGCTTTGTTTAGCTTAGCTTGTTCTAAGTAGGTGCTTTAGACCATTGAGCCATCTCACCAGCCCTTTTTTTTAAGCTTTATTTTGTCCATAGCACTGATCACCATCTGAAAAAACACTATGTATTTTAGTTATTTTGCTGTATTGTTTGTCTCCCTTCTGCTAGATAGTCCCTGGTAAATAATAATTGTTGAATGAATGATTTTTTTTCTAAATCATAGGCTGTAGCCCCACTCCTTTAAGTTATATAGTTGATACTTATTTACCCAAACAGGCTTTAGTTCATAATTGAAAATAGAGACACTTGGAAAAAAATTATTGTTATTATTACTATTAGTATTATTTTGGCAGAACCGGGGATTGAACTCAGACCCTTGTGCTTGCCAGGCACGCACTTATTCTACTGAGCCATCTCCCCTACCCCTAAAAAAATTTTTTTGAGACAGGCTTGCAGTTTGTAGTTTAGGTTGACCTCAGACTCAGTATATAGTCCAGGCTCATCCCAAACTCCTGGTGAGCTTCTTGCCTGAGCCTCCTAAATTGGAATTACAGGCATATGCCACCACACCTGGACACCAAACTTGGAAATTGAGAAAAGATATAGAGCCACGTGTGGTACACATGTGTAATCTTAGCACTCAGGAGACTAAGACAAGAGGATCATGAATTTGAGACCAGTGGTGATTACATAGTGAGATCCTGGGCCATCCTGGTGGTAAATGGAAGAAAGAACAGGATAGGTGGAGAAAAAGGAAGCGGGGGAAGGATACTAAGAATGAGAATGAATGGAGAAGGAGGGTGTCATGGTTCATGCCTGTAATCCCAGATAATCTCCAGCCAATCTCTGCTGAGGTAGGAGGATCACAAATTGTAGCCCAGCCTGAGCAATTTTGGGAGACCTTGTTTCAAAATCAAAGGGCTAAGAGTGCAGCTTGGGCATAGGACTTGCCTACCATGTGCGAGGCCCTGGTTTCAGTCCTAGCAGTGTGTAAAAAAAAAAAAAGACGAGGCATGGAAAACTGAGTTAGGGGTCTCGGGCACATTGGTTTATAAACATGGATGGACAGGTCAGGACCCAGATTTTTTGTCTGTCAGTTGGGGGCAACCATATGTATAAGGCGTTTAATAATGTCATGATTTATCTGCTACTTAACATCGTGGTTGGGTTGCTGAGGCTCTTGGAATTTTCACCCTAGAGCTTATTAATAATGGAAAGAAAGCACTCCTGATTTAATGCAGTGGTGCCAACTCTCCTGACTGGTAGCTGCTGGATTGCCTCCATCCATTCATGCCTAAGCCCTTCTAGCGCCAAGCCTTGACTTGACTAAAAAATCGTTCTCCTCCTTAATAGCTTCCCTTTAATCGCTGTTTGGTAAATGATTTCTTGGAAACACCCTGATCTGACTGTTACAGTTGAGTTCGAAGTGCCTTCTGATCCTGAAATTGATTTTCTTTGACTGGTACAGCTGGGTTATTTTTCCTGTTTATTTATTTATTTCTGTTTATTTTTTTAAAGAGCAGAGTATATTTATTTGGGGAAAGAAAGCTTCTGTCCAGGAGAGGGACAGAAGGGGACCCGAGTGAGTTGCCCTTTCCTGTTTTATTTTTTTATTTTTAATTTTTTTTTTTAAATTTGTGTGTGTGTGTGTGTGTGTGTGTGTGTGGCCAGCTCAGCCCACCAGGGGGCGCGGCTGGCTGTCATGTGGTGCTGGGGGATCGAACCGAGGTCCTTGTGCTTTGCTAAGCTTGTTCTGAGTAGGTGCTTTAGACCACTGAGCCATCTCACCAGCCCCTCCTGTTTTATTTTGTATGTATTTAGTACAGGGTCTACAGTGTCTCACAACACAGATTGGACTCAGTAGTGATCCTTACATTTTCAGCCTCCCAAGCACTGGGATTACAGGTGCAGCACTACCACACCCCATCTCAGTCACTGTCTTAAGTGGGCCCCAGGGACAGGGCTTGCAGGGCAGGCTGGGGATTAAGCCTCAGTTCCTACGTCTGCCTAAGCAGGCACTTTAGTCTGCTGAGCTATCTGGCTAGCCCTATTATTACTTTTTTTTTTTTTTTGGTGGAACCAGGAATTGAACTCAGGCCCTTAGTGCTTGCCAGGCAAGCTCTTATTCTACTGAGCCATCT